TTTAGATTTTGGAGTTGATTCAATGGAACGTCTGTGTAAAGGATTACATTATGTGATGTGGATGCAAGATAAAGCGCTACTCCAGGAGGAATTGGCTGATAACATATCGTCATTGCTGACTGTCTTCCAGAACGAACAGCAATCTGTTCTATTCATCAAGCAAATGCTTGTGACAGTGTCCGATCAATGGGCACAAATGGATCGTTGGCGAATGGATAAATTTTTGATGGTTAGTCGCTCGAGTCTCTAGCTATTTTCCGCACATATCTACTGAATCAATCGCTAGCTTCTGACTTATCTGTTTACGAATTTTGGCTGTGCATAAAGCGGAGTGTGAAGGCAATCGCGCGACACAGAGGTTTAGTAGCAATAGAGAGACTTTGAATGATTGTAATGTTTAAATGTTGGTTGGTTATGGAGAATGACATTATTAGTGTTGTCGTGTGCTAGAGAATTTATTTATAGAAGTGATTGGGGTTTGAAAATGACTGGTTATTAGTGAGAAGTGTTGTTTGCAGTTAATGCGTCGATTACTTCGTTCGCTGTTCGTTCATCTTCGTAAGAACGAATGGAATCCGACTTTGGTAGATACTTATATGAAGGCGTTTCAAGAGTGCGCCATATCGTCAGGTGAGTTCATTTAGTTTGAGTGCTTGATGGTTTTGGAGTTTGGGTTGGTATAATCAGTTCTATGTAATCTTATCACANTATAAGTTTTCTGTGAATTGTTGGTGAATTCAATTGTTGCAGATAAGAAGTTTTGCGAAGGTTTGAAGTTTCATTTTGCGTCGGTGTTCCTTGACGAACTGGACTATGCTGGTACGTTTGTGGTGTATTCCATTGGATTTTTTATTTGGTATTTTGAAAAGTTTGGTACAATTTGAAATTTTTGGAAGGCATTCATGCATTCACTGTGTTGCATTCGTTGCGTTTTGCAGGTGGTTTGGAACCAGGAAGAGTGACGGAACTTCTGCAGCCGTTTGCGAATCTGCTTGCTGATAGACAAATCTCGTATGGTGTTCTATTAGTATTGTTATTATAGCTGGTTTTTATAGCGACTTTATTAATTCGATTCGATCTTTTTGTGAAGATAACGGTAAAGATAGTAGAGATGTGATCGAATTGCAGAGGATATTTGTTCGATTCAATTCTACGAGAGATATTCCTGACGATATTGCACGATTATGCGGATCAGAAAGCTGCAGCTGCTGAGGCGAGTAACGCCGACGAAGGTGATGAAGATGAGGGTATGGATGGCGACGAAACGCAGGGCATGGAACAAGAAGAGGAAGAAAGTGGTGCTGCTAGTGATAGCAGTCGAATAAAGGTTGACATCTTTGCTGGAAAAATTTGTGGTTTTGTTGAGTAGAAAACGATTTTTTTTGGTTGTTTTGAAAGAGGAAGAATCTGCAAGTAGTGCAAAA